CCCCCACGCGGTCACCTACAGCCATGAAAATGACAGCTTAATTTTAGTGGTTGTTTTTTTATCCCATTCTTTTGATCGAGGTTAAGGTGATTGCTAAAATGTGGTCCCATTTCGTTATGAGGATAGGATTTAATTATATACTGTTTGGTAAATTTTACCGCTCTTTTGGAGTTCCTTCTTATCATGATGTGCGTGTGCCTGTGTGGATTTGAAAGTAATGCCTTGAGGTAGTTACGGCATTGTTGTACAGAATTTGAAGAATCGGCTAAACGGCTTTCACTAGGCCTCGAAACGTGTAGGCACCACCAATTAATAGTCGCATGCTAACATGAATGAGCACACACACATCCTACTTTTAAACCCTTGACGTAGACGATGCCTGTGTTTTTCGGTCTGTCTGTCTGGGTGGATGTGGGCGATTGACACGACCTGTCAACGTGACAATCGCCTCACTTGCCCTTCAATCACGCGATTAATTGCAAGATGAAGTAATTCCAAATTCATTGACTTCAACAGGGTAGAGGGTACGCCTCAGGGCTAGATGGTGAGAGCATTTCCTGCGCCACTCGTTTTGCGTGGAAAACATCATTCTTCTCGCACCAATGGGTGGTGAAAGGTCTCTCCTCTCCTCCAACATAGCCCATCGATTTTGATACCCTGCCCAAAGCCAGGTCTGGCAGGCGGGCATTGCAGACGGCATACAATGCATGATGCTGCCAAAGTCTTTTACACTGTTGGTGTGCCTACTACGCGCTTTCATGCGTGCTGCATACTTTTCATTCTTGTGCGTACGTGTGTTTATGTGTGGGTTGCATCATCATTATGTTAATTGGAGCCGGAAAGGCATTTCGGCTGCTCGCCTTTTTGTTTTGTCCAAAACACATTCTCAGTTGGATGACACTCTCCTTTTCTCTCGCTTGGTTCAACGCCTGGCATCACAGATGCACACATCTCGGTCTTGAGATGAATGAACAAGAATTGCTGGAACAAGTGGCTATTGCATATTTGGTGTTTCTTTTACAGTCGCTTTCATGTTCATCCACCTTAGCCACCACCACCGCGGTCTTGGAAGCATATTGTCAAGAGTAAATTTGCCTGCCAGAATGGAATTCCTCATTCAAATTGTCTATCTACACGCCCTCCACTTGCGAGCCAGTGTTAGCCACGCTACCACCTCTGAAGGCATAGGCAATGCACACAAACTTAAAGTCGTTTTGTAACGCGACAGGACCGAAAGGGTCCGCTTGTGTCATCGTGCCTACAGTTTTGTAGCTCCTCGGCGCTTTCATTGGTATTCCTCCTGTTTCAACCATCAGATTGTGGCAGCAACAAAGAGGTGTCAGGTTCCCCGGTTTTATAGTTTCCACTTTTTTGCTGAAATAGTAATAACAAGTTTTCGTTAAAGACTCTGTCTCTTTATTTATCCCTAGTGCAAGATTGCATTTCTGTGGATTCAGGCGCAGAAAAGTTCTTTTCATATTTCTCAGTCAATCCATGTAGACATATAAGCCCTCTTTGAAACGTCGTTGAAAGCAGTCACATTCTTCTCGAAGGATAGAATATGCCTCACCAAGCTGCATCCTTTTATGGGGACTTATATCACCTTTGAAGACATTATAAGGCACAAATTTTGAGGGCAGAGGGTCATATTACAGGCAGAAGACTGAAAAGGCTTGCATTTTCTCATGGATAAGCAAAACAAATGCCATTCGGCCACACGTGATGCTCAATGTTTGATTTAATGCCTGATTACTCGAGAAAAAATAACTTTCGCTTTGCCTAAAGATGCGCTCAAAACATCGGTGGCAGAGCTGCACAAATGGCATGTTTTAGGATTGCCGACCTCTCTCCTAATGCTCACTCGTTTAAACTAGGCATTCAACTTTTTCTTCTTCACTGAAGCACCATTCAATCACTGGATGATGTTCTCCTTTTGTCGGCTCTTGATATTGGTCTCTAACGGACGCAACTTGGGTGTTTTTTGAATCGGAGAGCGAGAACGAGAACGCGAAAACTGTGGGTCACATTTATGAGAGTTTGTGCGCCTACTAGTTACACACCGGCTTTACGACGTGCGCAGTTGTGACCTCGCTTATTCTCTCCATCGTGTTGCCATGGCCTCCTTGTATGCTCGTTTTATTCCATTCTGGAGAATCATAAACTCTATCTTTTTGCGGTGAAAATTGATTGGCATTGTGGGGTAGAGACAGTTGCCGACTTTCATGGGATGCGGGCTCTTCACTTGGCGCCGTACGAGCTGCGGTGACTGCAAGAGGACGTCCTAATCAAAGTTGCCACCTCCCTGAACTTAACTTTTAATCCATCCATCACTTAGCCGAGACCGATGCTAGCATTGGCGAGGAGGGGTCGGAGGTCGTTACTTGAATGACTCAGAGGTCATTGTTACGCCTCAATTTATGAACAATCCTACCGCACTCTAAAGTAGGCATTCGTTAATTGAGACTAGGAACAGGTTAAGGGTTAGCATCCGAATGACTCACCATTTCATTTCATCATTAGTCCGATTAGATTTTGCGTCAGGCTATGAAATCGAGCCTCTGTGTGTGCTTCCTAAATGTACGCATTTGCGAATAAATCACAGGTCTTTTTTTCACGCAAGTGCGTTTAATCTGCTCTCCGGTCTCTGGCAAGTTATCGGCAGAATTTATATGCAGGTCTCGAGTTGCTCCTAAAATACCGGAAAAAGAGAACAAGTGTGAAGGTCTTACTGATGTGGTAGATTGAAATTTCAACGTCTAAAAAAAGTTTCATCTACCCTCCCCTCACTTCCTAAATAGGTTGGGCAGATAAAGCAGTCCTACAACCACCTTTCGTTGGCTCGGTGTCTGCCCAGCGAGTACCGCAGTTTCCTGGAGCACATTGAGTCCTGCTCCTACCCCGACCGTCCCGACTACGGAATGCTGCGCTCTCTAATCCAGCAGGCCATAATCCGTCGCAATATCCGTGAGTCAGATCCCTTCGACTGGGAGGCCGAGGTGGTAGTTGTGGAGCAGCCACAGCCCAAACAGGTCCCGGTGAACAAGGAGGCCAAAGCGGCCGCTGTAGTTCCACGCCCGAGCTACCTAGACACCGTCGGTGGCGCCGTGGAGGGAACCGTGGCTGTTAGTGCCACGGCAAATGACGTTGCTCTCCCTGCCTGGTCTCGTGTTCAGCGCCTAGCCACCCGAGCTTCTGACCACTTCCTTGAATCTCTTGACGATGGAAGAATGGCGGAGGATGTGGCGCGGCATCTTTACGCACAGGGAGGCCAGAAAAATGCCGCAGTGGGGCAGTCCAATTCCTCTCGTGGAGCTGGCACGAAACACGGGGATACTAATGCAATGGCGCTGGCGCCACGGACGTCGAAGCAGGGCTTTATGGAATCCAGTCGTCAGCGGACTCAGCAGAAACCACCCAAAGTCGGCCTCACTGAGGTGGGGAGCCGGGCTCACATCCCTAACCTCCGAAATAAGTCTCGCGAGAACAATGCGGATGCAAGGCATGCCGCTGCCAATAACAACAACAACCACCATCACGGCCATCGCCTCAGGGAGGAGTTTCCTCGTGCCACTAGTCTTCCCCTTCCCACTTCCTCACGCTATCGATCTACCTCAATACTCCCCAACCATCATCAGCAACAACAACAGCGGCGAGTCCTCCTTGGTTCGACCTCTGACTTGGCGGATAGAAGCACTGGTGATGTCAGTGCTGAATCGATGGCGGGAGCGACGCATGCTCTGGCCCTCTCCATTGCCAATCAAGGGAAGCACCCAGGAGGGAGTAGGATATGTCGCCTGAACAGCGGTTCTATGACCCAAATGGCTGGGCTGGGGCTGTCCTCCCAGGATCTCCCTTCCTTCGTTGGCGACGATGTTGGCGGCGTTGGCAGTGGTGTTGGCTGTACGAGTGGAATAACCCCTTCCTCGGAGAATCACCAACCCGAAGTGTTTGCCAAGGGGGTGTCAAAGCTCTCCCGCCGTGTATCGTCTGCGTCGTTGTCGGAGCAGCAACAAAATGGAGGTGGAGGGGGTGGTGATCACACTCCGAAATCAGGATCTCCGTCGCAACCACAACAGTTACATCCGTATTGGGAAAACCACCATCAAATGGGGAGCTGGCGGTCGGATAGGTTTCCTCGCCCCATACCGCGTTGTTCAGGTGTTGCTAGGTTTCTTGTTCACCGCCACGGCAGCAGAAACAACCACAGCAGCAGCAGCAGCAGAATCATTTCAACTCGGTGCGACGTCGGCGTTGTGACTCCCCTGCCCGGTGGAATTGTAGTAATAGTAACAATGTGGGGGCTTCACCTACTTCCGCGTTGCAACAGTCAGTTTACACCCTACGACGGCTGACTGGACCGGCGGTTCGACGTTCAGTCAGTCATACAAAATTGGACAATGCCTGCGCTCGCCCGGACTCACCCTTTTGCTCCTGGTGCTCGCCCGGTCAGCAACCACTGCCAGCACCGCTCTCACAACACGGCGATATGGACTCGCCTCCGCAGCCTCCACCACCACCCCCGGTGTCAAATTTCTCCCGACCTGGAGCGAGATCTAGATCCTCTTCTAGATCATCTGCTCAACAAAATATGCTATCGCCACGAGCTTTCTTGCCATCCACCACCGCAACAGCAGCTGGTGATAAGATGACCACAAATTTGGATGAAAATTTGGACGAAAATGTCATCACCGATGGGCTACTGATGATGCGGTTGGTGACGGGCAATGGGTGTCCCAGCAACGGTTGTGGAGTAGGCGCACCATCTTCGATATCGCCGAGGCCTCCAGAGTTACCGGTGTCCCCGACGGGCCGAGGAGCGATGGCGGCGCGGCGAAGGAAATACCGACCCAGGGGCAGTGCTGTCCCACCACCACCTGCGCTGCTTGTGGGTAATCAAACCATTGCTGCAGGTGGGACTGCCCCTTCCCTGTTGTTTATTCAGCCGACGCCTGTTCCAACAGCGGTGACAGGAGGAGTGTCGTCAACAGTAGCAGTGCAGACGATCCAACAGCAGCCGCCCTCCCCAAAAGTGGAGTGATGATGATGGTGATGCAGAGACCACGTCTTTCCAGTCGTTTGATTTGATTTGCCTGTGTGTATGTCTGTATGCCTGAGTGTAAAATATATATCTATGCATTATACATATATGCACGTGTCATCGATCGATTCTCCCCCTTCTCCCCTCTCCCCCCGTTCCTCTCTGACCCCTTCCTATTGTGTACAGGAGATGAGAGGTGCAAACAAGTGTGTAGTTTGGTGTGGTATGTTTGTGTGTGTATGTGTACTCTTATTTGAAAACCGCTTCCCCTGGCCCCTTCACACTCCTTCTCCCTGTCTTATTGCTTCTTACTAGTACCATCCTTTTCATCTTGGTCTTATTATCATTACAACCTCCTATTACTACGAGTATTGCTGCTGGTGCCGCCGCTGCTGTTGTTGTTGTCGTGGAGGACGGCGACAGTTTTCATTGGCCTACTCGAGTCTAGGTGTGTGTTTGTGACTGCGTGTTCACAAATCTGACTGTCGGAAGGCGTTGCGCCTGTCCTTCCCATTGATGAGACAATCAAAAATTACAAAGTCAGAAATAAATTATTTCTTTTGCAAGTTCAAGCCCCTCTTATTCTGCTGGTCAGTTCAAAGTCGGCAGGAGAGTAAGGGAAGGAAGGAGGGAGGGATGAATGGCGGCCTTGTTGCCTGGTTGAAATCGGGACCCCTGCGTTTATTGGCTGTCGGGTTTTTTTCTGGCCGACGGGCTTCCGAAATTTTCTAGTCTCGGCTCAGGTGGATTAAACTTTACATGCTCAGGTTACACTTAAATAGGCTTACCATTCAGTTGTCGTTAAAGTGATGGCATCAGCCGTATTTTTTGACATCATTTTTACCTGCAATCCGTTGGCTACACGCGGCTGGTCATCGAGGGTGGGAATTGGAATTTGGGAGTTGAAAGAGCTCCAATTAATTATGGTGGATTTTAGCTAGACCTCCCATTGTTCAGTCGACTAATGTCGGAGTATAGTCAGACAGACAGACAGCGAGTCCCGACTGGACGAACCGGCGATTAAATTGCTCTAATGGAGTGTGTGGGGCCGATTTTTGAGCGGGATCGCGTGAGTTATTTCTTCTCTCACCATGGATGGAAAGGTCGGAAGTTGTGTCTTTATGTATTACTGATTTCATCTTTGTTGACGTGTTTGAGTGGCCAAAATGGTAGGGCCGGTGAAAAGGCCCTCATCAATTGATACGTAGGTCACTCAACTGCCAGCACCCCAATGACTGCATTTTACTTGAGGTTGAATATTTATTAGCTTCTACCGATTAAGCGAAAGTGAGGTCGGTTTTCAGCCCTTCGATAACGGGGAGAAGTAGAGACTTCACTCGAAGTTCTCGGTTCTTCTGCAAGGTCTCCTGTTTACTTGGGATTTATAATTGAGTGAAGAAATTCGAGGAGTCGCGTGGAGATCCAAACGTTGACGCCTCCTCAAGTGCTGGTTTGACTTTTCCTGCGGTTAGTCGGGCTGTTTCGCTTTTGATTGGTCCGGTTGGAATTAAGTAATATAGGGCACGGCGCAAAAATACTTTCTGATTCCGAGTTTGTTGGGTGGACTTTGTCATTTTCCTCCCTCGTCTGTAATTGGTTAGTGATGGAGTAAATAAAAGTGCAGGTAAAACAGGAGTAATTAAAATACCTACTTCCACTCTTAAACCACCAGTCTCGCAGGAATTCCCCCTTTTTAATTCTTTTCCAACCTTCCTATTAGTCCTCACCTTTGGCAATTTTTTTGTGCTAATTATTTTGATTTATCAACAGTCAGTTAAGGGAAGGATGAAAGGAGGATGGGGCAAGCTTTGAATGTTTGTAAACGTCTCCTGCTTCCTAATCCTCCAATTGGTCCATTTCTAATCCACTTTTGAGGGAAATGAATAAGGGTGGTTTGAATGATCCCCATTTGTTAGGTGGATTGTATTGGTTACCAATTTCGCTATCGGATGATCAAATCGTAATTTAGTCGCACAACGAGTTTCATATGTCTCCTCAATCGACCGTGGAAGGAAGGAGGCACATGTCCATGGAAATGGAAAATAGAGATATGCATAATTTTGCCTTGTCAACTGCCACTAGGAGTTTGAAAAGGTGTCGAGTACTGGATATCATTTGAGACTCGCAGGTGGGAGACCGCACGGGGACTCCCCTGGAGATGCAGGCAGAATAGCCTCTTATTAAAACTGCGAGTTGTCCAAACAAGTAACGTGTTACCTAGACCCTCTTCTCTTTTAAGTGTTGTCCCCAGCGCTCTCCTTGACCAACCTCCCGCATTACCCATCACAACGTAATTGGTGCTTCAAAAAAAACACCCACAAGCCAGCCATGTCGGTCAGCAAATTTCCTTGCAACTGAGGAGGCTCTCGGCAGCAAGGTCACAAGTCCCTCCTGGCAGTTCTGCTGGTTTTTAGGGACGGGTGAATGTGCTGGCCGTCACGCATTTTCACTCTTAGTAGTAGGACCACTGACCCGGAAGCAGAGTCATGTGACAAAAGATGGGATTTGACATAGTTCCGTGGGGGCGTAAGGTTTTTGCGTCCATTCCTCCTTGTCACTCTGCTCTCGCATCAGTGCTGGGTTCTATTTGGCTAGTAGAGAGGTGGAGGAGGCATGGCGCGTTCGCATATTCGCCATCTACATGCAGGTACGGTAGACGGTTCCGGAAGGCATATTTCCGGGTGGTTCACGTCTAGTGTCGCTTCAGTTGTTTGTAGCTTCCCTGTAGGCCACAGGACTGGGGTAGTTACCGAAGGTGGACGTCATTTTCAATCGTTCTTTAAGGGGTCGTCGCAGATTCTCCCATCCACAGCCTACGCGCTTCCTCCGCTCCGCCAGGCTTTATCACCCACCAGGAGAAATCAGGATGGATATCCTTCGAAATCGAGTTCGCCTTCCGCTACCACCAATGTAGCGCACCGGCACTTCTCTGAAGATGATTAAAGGCGTGAAATATATGTTGCCAACGCACAGTTGGGCTTGAAGGGCTGCTGTCATGGCCCGGAGGCCAACCCACTCGGCGAAGATGCAATGGCAGAGCCCCCAATCGGCCCATCACTAAAACCGGGGACTAAACTGTTGATTAACGTATTACAGTAGTATGGCAGAAGAAGAGGCTACCAGTGTGGCCTTGAGGCCAGTGCTGAACAGTCAGTGATGACTTAATCGCCCGCCTAACCAAACGCAAAGTTAAACAAACTGTCAAAGCATGACAATCTCATTTCGAGTGAATAAATTTATAAACGACATGCCTAATAACTTGTCTTGCGAATAAGTAAAAGTGGACAATTATGACTTTTTTGCAAACCCATTCCTCTCCCTTCTGTTAAGTCATTTCCAAGGAAGAATGAGGTCGCATTGGAGGCACATTTTTCAAACATTATTTGTGCAGCAATAAAGGAATAAGGCACCTTGTTCTCATAATAGCTGCGATTGGGAAAAAATTAGCAAAACCTTCGCATTTTATTTAGTGGGCTTCGCATCAGCCATCCATTTATGACTCCACTTTTACTGCATATTGAAATAATTTATCGAGTGCAACTTTTTCACGCATTAATTTGCGGGTTTTTGCCATTTTATGGTAAACTGGTGGTTTATTTCACCTCGCGCTCAACTGCCTGCACAGATTTGTGAGGTCCAGGAGGCGGTGCTTCCACTCTACGACATGGCCTCCGGCCCTCGCGACAGTCCAGTGGCTTCCCGCCCGACAATGTCTGTAGCGCATCGCTGTTGGAAAACGTACATTAAGTAACACGCAGACAGATTGCATCAACTCCGTGGTTGGGCGGACATCACCGATTCCCAAGGAGGAGGAGGAGGAGGAGAGGGAGACAAACATTCACCGTCCCCAACTTTGGAGAAGACGGCAATATCTCGACTCGACCGCCGAGCATTCACCTAGTTGCCAATCAACTATCAAGGTGAAGAAGTTGAGTTATGAGATTGAAAATAATGACAAAGTAGGACTTATATTTACAGAAATAAGTCGTCCTCCTCGTCATAGAAATGTTTCCTAGTTATTTGCGATCAAGCGGTTCGTCGGCTTCTGGCGGAGTTTTATCTCTCTCCTGTGTGCGGGAATTGAAATCTACATGTTCAACAAACTAACCATTCAGCCACCATTAGTTCAAGGGGAGGGCCCTGTTCGGGTTCCCGAATTGTCAGTTAATCGGACGGAGGCTCACCCCAACTGTCAATTAAATGGTAGAGGGGGTTCTTTTAAATGAACCTGATCAAGTACCGCATTTCCTCAAGAAATACTTTTAAATAGGTATTTGCCAAAACAAGCAAGAACGAAAAATTCAACGAGCTGTTGTGTGTAGAATTTCACGGATAATTCAAAAACTATCCTCCCCCCCAAAACAAACAATGAAAGTTTTTGTTTGCCATCTGTGTGGGCGTATCGGGTGAGGTATTGAAAGTCCTTAAACATTTCGGAGAGAGGACCTAAAAATCTTTTCTTGACTTGAAATAGCCCAGACAATATTTTCATTCACCTCAAAGTGTAGACTTTCACGAAGCTTTTGATGGCACTTCAACAATCACTGCCAATGCGTCAATCCGCAATTTGCCTTTTCTTACGTCATGACCAACAACATTTCCGTTGCTTTGTTGGCAACGCAGTGCGTTAGAACAATGCCCCACAAATCTGTTGGTTGATTTTTTTCTTTTTTTCTTTCCCACCCTAACAAAACGGCAGGGAAGGTGGAGGAAATCCGCATTCCTGCCCCTCTATGCATTCCTTTCGTTCACACAACTAACTATGCTTATTCCTCCTCACAGTAAAAGTGTTAAATTGTGTCGCTACTGTAAAACAGAGGAGAAAGCTAACTCAACCGAAAAAAAATTAACCGTTGTCAGACGTAAAAGTGCATCCTCTAGCCCTACCATTGCTTTTCCATGCATTAAACTTCAATGGAACGATCACAAATGCACACTTTCTTTGCTTACATCTTTTATATTACGAGAAAATATTCAATCTTTTCACATTAGTCCAGATCAACGCAGTAGACGCTAGAGCGGGCCCTCGGTCAGACTCCCAGCATCTGACTGGTCCATGATCACATGAAAGTGGGACCTTGACCAAACTTCCCTCTTCTGATTGGTTTACGATTTTCTGCCTAGTTGTCGTAATAACCTTCAACTTTTGACTATAAAATTTGGCGTGAAGATCGAATTTAACTTTTGTTGCGGGTTTCCTTTCAGTCGCCGCAGATCAGCCTGCCACCACCATCTCCTCCCTGCCTTGGTAACAATTAATAATGCTTTACTGCTGAAATAACTTTTGACACCACATTACGATCCTCCATCCTGCCTCCTCTTTCCCGCTCCATAAATCTGGGGCACACAAGTCGAGGACCGAGTCGGTGATTTTTGCCACCGTAAAATTTGTAGCAAGAGGAGAATCGCGTTTCCCTTTTATCCACTCTCCCTAAAGTGGGCGGATGTGTGAGCTAGCGGTCGTCCACTTTCTTTTTTGCTCTTCTCATAAATACTTTATGACGGTGAAGGTGCGGCGGCGGCAGCGGCGAGGTGGAGGAGGAGAGCATAAGACCATCTCATCAAGAGGCTTTTAATGCCTGTCAACGGTGAAAAAAATCGCCTTTTTAATAGGCCTTTCACCAATCCACAAAGTTAACGATCACCCTGTTGGCAGGACAAATTGCATTGCGTGAATGCATGAAGCTACGTAATGTCTCACGAACTGACGTCGCCAAGTTGACAGTCCATTT